GTGAGAGTTTATTAAGATGGTCATTATAGAGATAGAAATTAATTATAAAAAATTGAAATGGGGACAAAAGGGAAGTTCATTATAGAGAAATTTTACTTAGTGGTCATTATAGAGAGAGTAGACTGTATGCTCCTAGGAGAACATGATGATACAAAAAACTAAACAAAAAATGAATGGATGTAGGCAAGTTGAGAATGGCAGTAGACCCTAATGAAACTAGAGAATGAGCCAAGAATTGTAAAAGAGTTTGATTTGATAATATCACTATTGAAGAAATGTTAGAGGGATTTATTGAAAGTTCAAATGAATTAGATGGTAGTTATGTTGAAAGCTATTCTAGAATAAGCAATTTAAATAATCAATTGAATCAACAAAAGAAAGATCATGAAGAGAAGTTTAGTGAAAAAAAATTGGAAATTAAAAATTTAGAAGCAGAAATAAAATGAACTCGAAGCAAAAGTAGAGGAACTAGATGAAGTATGAATGGAGTGAGAAGAGGCTGAGAAAGCACTAAATAAAGCCATGGAATGGAGAAAATGACAAATGTTTGAAACTGTGTTGAAGCATGATGCTGCAATTGGTAAACTTCAAGACCGAATAGATTTATTAGAAAATGATTTAGTGCTAAAAATCAGGAAATAAACTGAAAAGATTATTTAGCAACCAAAGAATTACCATCTCTACCAAAACTATAAAAAGAAAATAAATTGCAAAAGTTCAAGCAATTAGTAAGTAAAGTAAAAGAAAAGACTAAAGAGAAGTTCTAGACTTTTATTGTTCAAAAGAACAAGTAAGCCAATATGAGATTAAAATATAGAATTCTGGAAATAGCCCAAGGAAATGAATAAGAGTGTAACTTCTGTTTTCTAGATTTTGATGTCCCAACTCTCCTTAATTTTGATACTGCTCCTGCTACTCATCAAATGGTGGCTCGTAATACTCCTGATGGTTATTCTGACATTGCCTTTATCTGTGGTAAATGTAAAAATGATTATGATAATAATACTTTTCCATGATGTGAGAAATGTGGTAGGTTAAAAAGGAATAGAAATAGATGTTTTTGTAGTCATTTAAAAGCTAAATCAATTAAACCACTTTCTGACAAAGAACTACTTTCACAAGCTTTCAGTTTTTGCCTAGAAAATAAACTAGAGAACTAGAAAAAGAGCATTGGGTTATCATCAATAAGATATTGAAAGCCAGGATATTTTCTTTAACTTCATCTAAAGGACAATCAGAATGAATTTCAATTTATACAGAGGAAAATTACTTTCTTATTTTCAATCAAGGTCATTTCTTAGTTTCTTTAACTTCAATTTGAGCAACTTGACCATCTTGCTGTTGTAATTGGGTTAATTGAAATTTTAACTCATTGATTTCTTTTATTAATTCTTGGGAGTTAACTCTTTTAGTTGCTTATTTTCCTCTTCTAAGTGCTTAATCCTATCCAATAACTCCTGTCTTTGTCTTTTATGCCAATCCTCAACCACTTCCAAAGCCTCTAAATGAGTTTCTACCTCCTCAGTTAGTTGATTTTTTTCTTCCCTCAAACCATTTATTTGTGTTTCATAAAAAAGTGCCATTCCTCCATTTTGATGATGTAAAAGAGTAAGTTCTTTTTCATTTTCCTCTTCTTTGAAATCACAAGTATATCTAGTCTTTAACCTTCCACAATCACACTTAGGCAATTCATCATTTTCAAACTTTTCTTTACAGTTTTCACAAGCCTTATCACTTTTAACCATATCACCAGTCATTTTGCTTTGCATTCTGATTTTACAAACTGCTTTTTTTAAACCAGGACAGAAAACACAAGTAGAATTACTGCTGTGTCATTCTTCTAAATAAATTCTTTTTCTTGATTATCAATTATGGTTGCTCATGAATAATAAATCTGATGTTGATTACAGGTGTCAGATTTAATTAAAATTCCCTATCACAAACATGTGGTTATGTGCTTTCACACTGTGGATTTTTTCCACAGGTGAGGTCCCCCACAATGTTGGAAGGCTTTGGGCAAAACTTTTCCTTATCTTCCCCTCAGACCAGACTTGTTTACTGTTACCATATGGGCATTTATCACTGATGAATATCAGCATTTGTGTGATGATTTCTTTGTGTTCAAAATTCTGCAACTCAGGAGATTGCATCCTGGGTTGCTGTTTTGAATTCAGAGTTTTGAGTCCTGGGTTGCTGGAATTTTTATGAAAAGAAAAGTATTAATATTTAACAATTAATTATTTAAATGTTTATTTTGTTGAAAAAAATATACATTGATAGTGTACATTTTCTGTGCTTAACATCCATGTGACCCTGAGTCTGGACAAAAGATCCCTTTCTATAAGTTTGGCTGGTATATCTCAAAGGTATCTCCTGTCTTGTCAGTGGCATGCCTGCTCACCAAAAACCCTACCCCATTTAAATAACAAATTCAGTTGGTCAAATAAAATTAAAGAGATGCAGAAAATTTGGGGAAATGATTAATTTATAACATACCAAACAAAATCTGAACCGTTTTATTTTACAGCTTTCTCCTTGATGCCAGTGATAATGGTGACTATCACAATAGGAGTGGGCAGAATCAAACTGCCATCTTTACACTTGTAAGATACGTGCTCTCATTGAGCTACAGTCCTTTAACCTAGGGTGGGAGGTTATATGGGCAAAAGTTCCCATTTAAAAAAAACAACAAATTTAGTTGACAAATAAAAATTAAAGTGAAACAGAGAATTTGGGAATGATTAATTTATAACATACCAAAATCTGAACCATTTTATGACTTTTTTCTTGTTGGCCACATTGCTGACAAAGATGTATATAATCATGTGATAATTTTAACCTACAGGACAGGGCAAAAACCCAGTTCAGTCCCTACCCAAAATTATAAATTGGTTAATATCAGAGAAACAGTGAATTTGTGAAAATGATTATACAAAACAAACACTATTTTACAACTTTCCTCTTAACATCAGAGTCCAAATGTAATTTCAGGGCTACAAACCCTGCTCTGAATTTTGACCTCCTGTGCTTGAACAAGCTGCAGATTCTCTTAATATTCCTCCAGAGTTGCGACTTGGTCACAGAGCCATCCTTACCCAGAGGTAGGATTGTTGCAGGCAACTCTTCGACCAGCATGTCAGCAGTTTTCTCTGGTCTGGGAAGATTAGTGAAAAGCGTCATTGACGATTGATGCAGTCTCGGTAAATTCCAGATCCACGCGCCTTCTGGAATTCAATTGTATCATCATATCTTTGGGTCGCCAGGTCAAGTTTAGCTTTGTGCACACGACGAGGAAGATGTAAGAATGGCTGTAATGTGTTCAAGGTGGTGTGCGTGCTTCAACACTTGTCAAATTCCGATAATCAAACTTCGCATATCAAAATGTTTCTTTTTCAATGATGTATTGCCTTGACATCATGTAGTTAAATTATATATTAATATTAATATTGATTACGAAAAGCAAAATATTATTATTATCAATGAAAATCTTGTAATTACCCAGCAAGATCTGTTCCGCGTTTTGATTCCAATTAAAATATTTATAAGCTAAAATAAAAATATCAATACAAATAAAAAAAGTATTTCCGGTTAGTTATTAACACATTTCTTTAGGAGGCCCAAACCAAACCAAACAACAACACTCACGTTTTGTCACCTTGGACACTGTCGAAAAATAAATTAATTGTTTTCCAAAAAAAAAAATTCAATCGCGTCTAAAAAAAACCAATAGGATAAATAATTACACAGTGAAACTCGATTTAATGAATAAGTTTGGCCCAAGAAATTTATCCGCTAAATCGAAATATCCGTAAAAACGAGAAATTTGGAATTAGCGGATTTTATAATAAAAATCATGTGACATCAGTTAAATTTAAAAAAAATTAACAAACAAATTTCACAGTATATAAAAAATAAAATAATAATATATATAAACAACAACAAAAAAAATTAAATTTATTTTATTCTAGCATATAGTATTCTTCAATTCTTGTTTGTACTCTTTCTTGAGAATTTTTGTAAGAAGTTTCCTTCTTTAATTTATTGACATTTCTAATTACTTGGAATCAATTTCCAATTTTTTTTTGTTGTACATATATGAGTGCAGTTTCCGAACCTTTTATAGCTTCTGTGCTTGTTTTTTTTAAAAAAAAATTGATAAAAATTTTTTTTTTGATTATAGACAAAGGTGGATATTTTTTATTTTTACGAATCATTATACAAGCCATAAATTTTAATTTTACAAATCATAAGTTTTATTTTAGATTTAATTATTTTAAATTATAATAATAAGCTATTGTTTCTATTTTTTCAAAAATATTAACACTTTAAAATCATAATTTTTTATTTATTTATTATCACGTTATTTTTTTTAAAATTTCAAAACAGTAATGATCATCATTATCCGTTATATCGAAATAAATTTGTTAATGTACGACATGAGAAGGTTTAAAAAAATACCCGGTATACCGAATATATATAAAAATCCACTATGCTATCCGTTAAATCAAGATAAAATAAAAAAATTCTGTTCCGAAATTTTATCCATTAAACCCTTAAATCCGCTAAATCGAAATCCGCTAAATCGAGTTTCACTGTGTAATGTGTACGCGTCGATCAAATAATAAACTTCTTTATTTTATTTTGTAAACATGTCTTATACAACAAAAAAAAGAAGCAAAGGAAAAGATGCCATAGAAGTAAAAGGGTAAGTATTTTAAGGATGGTGGTGGTAGTTATCGCCACTCGATGTCACTCTAGTTGTATATATGTTAAATATGTTTACTAGTTTTTTTACTTATTTAGAGTGGAATATGACGTTGAAATCTCCAATGGAAGAAAAAGAAAAGCCTTAGATCCTATAATTAAATTGTATTATTCTTCAAAGGACAAAATTGATTAATTAATGTATAACCTAATATATATTAACATTAATCCAATTTCTTAACATCAAGACCAATCAACCCGCAGATAGCAAAACTATTGAAATTGATTTTAATGATATGAGTAAAATTTTGGACCAAGGACCATCAGAAAATGATGTATGTGGTAAATTAAATTTCAATTTTTATAGTATGTTTACTAAGCATAAAATGTGACTATTGGGTATTTTTCTATGCTATAGTGGATAGTAGGTACCATTAATGTATCTGAGAAATTTAAGGGATTTGGATTTCCAAGATTAAAAATAAAAAAAGTTAGTTTTATTTTTGTGTTTGTAATTTTATGATAAGTTCTTTTGCTCATTTTCTGCAACTTCATATTATAGGAAAATGTCTCACAATTGGCTGATTCATACAAATATCCAACATTTACTACTACACCAAATTCATACACAAATTAGTTATGAAGAGTATAAGATCAAAAAAGAAAAATTTTCAACCAAGGAAACGAACCATTAGACTTTTTGGTAGAAAAAAAATCAAGAAAAAGAAGAATTGTTTTGGGAGAGAATTGGAGAAGAAGTTGATAAAAAAAATCCAACATTAGTCTCAGGTTTCAAAGCCGAGGACATTAATCACGCAATTAAAATCATTATTGAAAAAATAATATGATGGAAATAATTGGTTGTTGATGCAAGATTAGTTAATCAAAATTTTAGAAATAGTAATAGCAATAATGACATATTTAATATTTTTCTATTACATATATATATTTTACATTTATTTATCTTTCAAAAAATAAATATATTTGCTTTTTTATACAAATTAAAAATTGTATGCTATATTTTACCATTTGGTCTAAATTTATCGTTTTGTCTTTTCTAATCCTTTCAAACTAAATCTAATTTTAATTTTTGGTTTATTTTAATCTCTTCTCTTATATCATTAACATGATCCCCCTGTGACATCCCAACTACCATCTGACCCAACAACTTTACTATTAAAAATTGAAGAATCCCTTGAAGGATTGTGCCACAAGATTAAGAATTTTAAGTAAATTAACCAGCAGAGCTTATTTTTTAACTTTACTACCCCAACATATAGAAGTTTCTAAATTTCGGCAATAGTTTCAGCATTCATTTGTATTTTCGGCAACAAAATGCAGTTTTGGGCATAGTGATTGAGTTTCGGCAAAGTGACTAAGTTTTGGATTATTAGTTTCTATAACCTTTTTTTTCTGAGTTTTGGAATCATCACATTTTAGTTTAGGCAAACTTCTATACCCCAACACAACATGAGAAAATAGAAACTAATTAAGATTACATAATTATTTTAAAATTGTTTTTTCAAGTGAATTGTAATTTATCATTTTCAAATTATTTAATATTATTTATAATGAAATATTTTACAATTGACGTTTATTCATCTCACATTGATAAGTAAAATATTATTATCTGAAATTCTTGGTAATACCAATGTTCACTTTGTCTGGTTTTGTTGCAGTATTGCCCATATATATTAATATTATTACATGAAATCAAAAAAAATTAAATTAAATGTGTGTATATCTTTGCTACAAATGCTATGTATAATATGCTGTATACAATTAATACATAAAATAAACATTATATAAAATACATGAATCATATATAAATAATCTAGATTTAATCAATACTCCACTGTTATCATATATTATTATTATTAAAATTACCATCATTATTATAGTTAATAATAATAGAATATAAAAATAAAATTCAATTAATAAAAAATACTTAAAAAAATTTAAAATGCAAATAAACCTAAAGGATGATTACTAACATGTAAATTATTAGTACTTGATTCTTGATAATTTGGATTTTTTTGTCGTTGACTTTCTTCAAGTTTTTTAAGGAGTTTCCCATTATCATTTTGTATACCCTTATTTTTATTCTATATTTAAAAAACCAATTAATTATAATAAAAGAATTAGAATGATAATAATTGGAAATAAAAAGATAATAAAAATAATGGTATATGAATAACCTTTTGAAGACGTTTCTCTGTTGCTTCAGCGATAACATTACGTAAAGGAGTGTTTCCCCCTACAACATCAACATTATTATTATTGCCACCACCAAGAGTTCTACCACCTTTGTTCCTACCACTATTTTTATTACTATTATTACTTTTAATAATATTACTACTAGTATTATTACTAATTATCCTATTCATATTATTATTATTTCTACCAGTGCTACTACCATTATTACGAGTATTATTAGAATTATTATTAGAATTATTATAGTTGTTATTTTTGTTGACTACATTTGAATCAACATCACCAAGCCTATGACCATTTTTATTAGTTTTTCTTTTTTCACTAGCAGAAGACTGACTACTGACGCATCCTCCCATGATTTTATTTGTTTGAGTTTTTTTTAAATCTAAAAAGTCATTTAGACTTTGTATTATCTGTTTATCTTGGTAAATCCCTTTGTTGGCAATCTTTAATGCAGAAATTTGATTGGTTTAATTGAAAAATGACATTATTTACATGTGACAAATTAAGTCATGGGAGAGAATTGGTAACTATTATTATTAATATTAATAAAAAAATTACCACAAGTTTTTTTTATCTCTTTGAAAGAATTATTAATATTTATATGTAAATATGAAGACATGATAAACTTTTAGCCACAGAACTCAAAATCAATGGAGCCAATTCAAGTTCGATAACCATTTCCAATAACAATCATTGTAATCACACGGCTAATATGGGGAATTGAAGATCTAGCTGATAAAGGGCAAGACTTCTTTAGCCACATGTCATGTCAAATTCTAAAAATAAAAATTTAAATTTAAATATGGAGGCTTGTGGTTTTGAATTCATATGGGTGGGGTAATGAATAAAAGAAACCAGATTTAGCAAGTGTAAAAAAAGATTGGAGGGAAGTTAGATTATGAATAACGCCATAATAGGCAAGTAAAGGGTGTGGCATCCTACAAGTATTTAATAATTTGTTTGTAATAATGGATGACAAAAAAAAACATCAACATAATATTATTATGCAATATTTTTTTTATTTTAAAAAGAATCATTGTTTACAGTATACACAATTAATAATGTCTGTGTGGATTTAGTGTGATATCATTGTGTTTTTTTTTTTTTTTGTTGTGCTGTGGTTGTGGAGGGAAGAAAGATAACACAACACAAAAAGTTTATTTGGTTTAATTTAATTTAATTTAATTTAATTTAATTAATTATAGACCATAAAAATAATGAATATAATCTTCTAACCTTCTAAATTATCTTCTATTTACTCTGGACATCTTGATAAAAAATTTATAATTGGAGAAAATAATAAATAATTTGCTCAATAAAATCATTGATTATGAATGAATCAAAGTAAAGTATTATTAAATAATTTTTAACTATAGAATAATAGCCTACGATTGTACTTATAGTATGGTAATAATAATAATAATAATAATAATAATAAAGGCAACCCTTGCAGAATATAAAATTTAAAATTGCAAGAACAAGAAACAATAAAAATGAAAACCTGATCTGTGTTACAAGCAATATTTAGGATGGAGAACTCCACTTTTTTAAATATATTGTTTATTGTTAAGATTTTTATAGTAGTACATGCATTTTAATTAGATTCATTTTCCTCAATTCATCCCGCCAAATAACATCGTCATCTAATCGTTATTATTATTATTTTATTCGCAATCGTCAATCATCAAAAAAACACGATACTGCACAAACAACTCTAAAAATTTTTACCGTTTGTTATCATCATCTTTCAATCCCACTCCCTTAACATTTTAGCTCATTTTAGACATATATAGTTATTAGTTTAGTTTGATGGATAGTTTTAATTGTAATAGCTTAATTTTATGTATTAATTTTTTTTTTTTTTTATAGTTTATTATATAGTTTATTTTATATAGTTGAATTACAATATTTTTAATTAATAATAAATATTTATTAATTTTAATTATTTATTTATTTATTTATTTATTTAAAAAACAGCTCCCCTCCTTGTTTTTATATTTATATATTTATAAATATATAAATTTTCTTTTTTTTTTCCACAGATTAATTTCTTTTTTCTTTTTTTTTTTTTTTTTATATTTTATTATTAGATAAATTATATAATACACTCATATTATTATTCTTTATTATATATATACATTATACATTATTATACATTATACATATATAGTTATTTTATAAACATATATATATATTTTTAAAAAAAAAATCGAAAAAAGTTGTGCCTAGTTCATGACTTTTTATACAGATTTTATTATTTTATTTGTAGTAATAATAATAAAGGGTCTTTAAAAATTTTGTTTTTAAAACCGAAAATTTTTTTTTTTAATTCTGAAATTCTGGCAAAAATCTCGTATTTGGCAAAATCTTTTCTTTACATTTTTCTTTATATTTTCTCTTTATCTTTCTTAATTTTTTAAAATAAAAATCGATTTATTTTTTTCTTCTTTTTTCGGCAATAAAATGGCAACCACTCCAACCTTTTCTACTTTATATTTTCCAACTCACGTTACTTCTACATTTTCACCACTTTCACCACTTTCAAATCCACCACTACCACAAACAACGACAATGACAACAACAACAACGATGTCAACTTCTCAAGCTGTGGTTCCTCCTGCTCCTGCTCCTCTTCCGCCTCCATCACTTCAAAATAGCGTCTACTCCAGTGACCCACGCGCTCATCATATTAGCAATAACAACAACAATAATAATAATAATAACAATTCTTCAAATTCTTTTTATCTTCAGGTTTATCCCAGTAATATCAACAACACCAACATGATCAATGCTAACAATGCTTCGTCTTCAACTCAACAACAGCCACAGCAACAACAACAACAATTGTTAGCAACGAAATTATCAATTGCATCTCCTGCTTCTATTTCCACTGGTGGAAAAGAACAAAACTATTTCAACACTACCGCTAACAACAACAACAACAACAACAACAACAACAACAACAACAACAACAACAACAACAACAACAACAACAACAACAATTATAATTATAACTATAATACTTCTAATATAAATATTAATAGTAGTAACAACAACAACAATAATAATTTGTCTAAAAACTTTCTCCCTCCAATAAATACTACATCACAGTTCATTAGCTTTAATACAACAAACACAAACACGAACACGAATGCAAACACAAACATAAGCACAAACACAATCACGAATACAAATAACAATAATTTACTTTCATCATTTCAACACGATCGAATCACACCATCTTCTGCCTCTTTACTCAACATCAACACTAACGTCACTTCAATCAACAGACCTCGACTTGAGCATAGACGTAGTAGTGATCCGGTTTATCATAATGTGCACTCAACAATGGATTATTCAATGTATTCTGCTGATTCATTACCATCTCTACCTTTACCACCAAATACATTCACCTCTACTTCTACTTTAAACAGATATCCACATCATCATCAAAATTATAATCATTATCAATATAATCAATATAATCAAAGTAGTCAGCAACAAAAACAAAATATCAATCATGTGATCTTCTCTTCAACCACTACAAATAATAACAATAATAAAATATCAAAAAAATCTTCTAATCTTTCAAAGATATTAAGTAATGATGATGACGATTATGGTAAAGATAGGCGACAACCGTTTCACAAGATCAACACCAAAAGGTTTAAATGTGATGAAGATTTTGAAAGAATTGATGATGATGATGTTCTTAGAGATACTAATGGTAATCCATGTTGTCAGGATAGGTGAGTGTTACTTGGATAATAGAATAAGATATATGTAACATCATCGGTATATGGAGATATAATTATTTATAGATATATAAGTAGATGATTTACTGATTTCGTTTTCCGAAAATCTAATAATTTCAAAAAAAAACATATATACATATACACTTATTAATATTATATAGTGGAGTCACATACATGTCATCGATAGATATTAATAATAATAACAACAGTACGGAAAGCTCACCATCAAAAAGTTCTCCGATTACGTTAAACGATAGTAGTAATGACGACACTCAAAATAACAACACCTTTAGTGAACAATTACCTCAACAACAAATCTTACGTCAAAATAAAGGTTTGAGACATTTTAGTAAACAAGTATGTGATAAAGTAGAATTGAAAGGTGTTACCACTTATAACGAGGTACGCTTGGACATAATTTTTTATGTAGGAAAGAATTAGGGAAAATGCAGGGAGGTTTTGTCTGGTGGTTAATTAGTTGATGTTTTTTTTAAAAGGTTGCTGATGAACTTGCAGAAGATTTTGCTGCTCAAATGCAAGATATTGGTGGTGTAAGTAATCAATCAACAAATCAATTAACTTACCTATGCATATAATTAATAATTTTTTTATAAATTTTTTTATTAGCAAAAAGTAGATCAAAAGAATATAAGACGTCGTGTATATGATGCATTAAACGTATTAATGGCAATGGACATTATAGCTAAAGATAAAAAAGAAATTAGGTGGCTGGGTTTACCAGGTCAAAAAAGGAATATCAATAATATTAATAACAATAGTAAAAATAATAACAATAATAATTCTGGCGTTGTTGTTGTTGGTTGTGGTGGTTGTGTCAATTGCAGTTGTTGTATTAATAATAATAACAATAGTAGTAACAATAATAACAATAATGATATCAGCGATATTAATGTTAATTCAACTTTATTACCTGTGACGACTGATGCTGAAATTGAAAGACAAAAATTTGAACTTCAAGAGTTGGAGGTAAAGGAAAAATATATGAATAAATAGTTTAATAAAATTTTTATTAACTATGATTTTTTTTTACTGGAATTCAGCGACAAAATCGAAATTTAAGCAAGCAGGTTAATGATGCCAAAATTGCTTTTCAAAACAAAATTGCTCAAGTCAGTATATTAAATATAAATTTATACTATTAATTATTCAATATTAATTTTTTTTAAATACACTCTCACTCGTGTAACATTATAATAACGAATAGCACCTTCACATCTGTAATCTTGTGAAGAGAAATAAGTTAAACAGTTATCAATATCAATCCAATAACGGTAAATCAAAAATATATTTTCCATTCAAGCTTATACGTTGTCCGCAAGGAACACAAATTGATATTCAGAGTGGACAGGATGGGTAGATTATGTCTATAATAGAATATGTTATTATGTTGTTATCATAGTTATTATTGTTTGTCTAACACTGATTGATATATTACTAGGTTTCTTACATTTTATCCAAATAAACCAACAATACTTAATGATGTTGACATCCTACAATGTATTGGAATGGATAAAATTTCTCACGATGATATGCAGAGTTGGATTAATCCTGAACATTTAAAATGGGTCATCGCAAAACAAGCTGTCGATGGTGATTATCGTATAAATAATAATAACAATAACAATGGTAATAATGGTTTCAATGTTTTTGGTAGTGGTGGATTTGGCAATCCTGGCGGTGTTTGTGGAATTAATAATAACAATAACAATTATTGTGGACATTAATCATTTTCATCTTCGTTATCTATCATGTTGATGAATATGAATCTCTTTTTTATTACTCGACACTTTTTTTTTCTAAGCGATTTTTCTTTTTGAAGTATTTTTTGGGCTAAGATTTTTTTATATATATTTTTACAATAAGCTGTGTTTGTTTATAATAAACGTTTCGGTGTCTTTTTTAAGTTAATCGTTGCCATTTTAAAAATGTCTATTTTGATTTGTGAGAACATTTAATTTTATGCACAAAAAGTCTTGGGCTAAAAAGTCCAGATTTTTTTTTAGACTTTCCTTGTCAATATTCCCGCGCATTAATTTAACCAATCTTTTAAGAAAATCAATTAATGTAAAGTTTGGTTCACCAAAACACATATGAAGTAATAATTATTCTTTTTTTAAAAAAATGGCGCGGGACCTCTTTTGGAACAATAGAATAATATAATAATTATTTGTAGTTTTTCCGTTAAGATAATACCAATTTTAACAGAATCTATATTTACTATAACGATAGAAAGGTAGGACAGAAAGTAATTAATTGACTCACTCCTATATTTCAAAGATCACGTGTAAAAATCGGAGGTTTACTACGGCTATGCTAAAGACCGAAATTCTGTAATTCACTACTCAAAAAGGAAAGATGATAAGGAATAAACTTTATTAATCATTTTTTTTAAATTCAGGACCCGTGAGACTTATTATTATAATTATATTTTCGAACTGCATATTAATATTAATTAATATTCTGTCAAATGCCCCGTTGGTAAAACTTAAAAAAAATTCGCATAATCAGAATGACATGATTAGCTAGTTGAAATTTTACATACATATAAAAAAATACTTTCATCTTTGAACATCCAGGATTCCACAAAATTCTATGATAATGAAAAGGCTAATAAAAATGAAGCTTGGAATATTGTTCCTAACCAAATATCGGTTTATTTAAATCAATTCATTTCGTAATTATTTCAAGTATTCATAATACTCGTAATATTCGTAATGATTTGTTTACAAATATTTATTATTTAAGTTTATTATTGTCAATATTTGTTTACGCAATAAATATGAATATTATAATTACAAGTATTTTGAAACAATTACGAGTATTTGAAATACAGTGTGTTAAAAAAAAACGCCGGTGACAAAAATTTGCATATCTCAACAATTACATAACATAATTAAATAGATTTAAAGTTTACCAAATTACCTTGTTAAATAATAAAAAATTGTCATGAAATGCTGTTGCCAATCTTCTGTAAAACTAATTCATATCTTTTTTTTAAAACTATGCTAAATTTTGTCTCTGAAATTTTAACACGGAATTTTTTAATAATAATTCCGACACAAAATATACATCATATAAAAAATCATACCAGTTCGTAACGAAAGTTCCAGAGATTACGTATATAAACCTTCATACTTTAGATTTTCTAGAATTTTGTCAATTGGAAATAAAAGGAGTTTGATTATTTTGAAAAACAATTCAATCTGTAAATTCCTTTAATAATTGCTCTAAAGCCCATATAACAATATGTTTCAAAAATTTTATATGTTATGATTTAAGATCCTCCAATCCCTGATATAATTTTCATCATATAATTTTGGCTACCTTTTCATTGAAAACAATATTATACAAGCCGTTGTTTTTTCCTAACACACTGTAATTACAAGTATCATACTAAAATAATTAATGGTTGTATCCGTTTATTATCCGGGTATTTGAGTATTTGGCCAATCAATAAAGCCTAATACCCGATAATTGGTCAGTCAATAATAACAATAATAAGTTCAACATTCGGAAAATCATCTGCCGAATACCCGCCGAATACTGATTTAAATTTATTTAAAATTTAATACAAAAATATAACAATTATTTATTCATCAGGAAAAATATTTTCATTACATTGCAAATTGTTTTAAGAATACAATCCTTTCAAATAACAATGGATTCAATTTTGTTCGTTCGGCTGTCATTGTGTTTCCAGCTTCACTAAATAGACGCTCAGAATAGAAGTTGCTGCAATGCATAAATATTTTTTAGCTAATAATGACACAATTGAATATTCATATTACTTGATATATTATTATAATGGAAAAATGTTGATGATAGCGTATTAGTGGATAAAATAGTATATATAAAAATTTCATTAATTACGCGGGATAAAAATTATTTATTATCAGTATTAGTAATTGCCTAAATTTCGTTTTTCGGGTATATATATAATTGCCGTGTAATTAATTACCTGTTATTATTATACAGTGTCACCAATCAGGATTTTCATGTAAATGAACTACCAATTTTAGAGGCCTGCATGGATAACAGTAATTGAACCGTATCCCGCATGATTTGTACCCAAACCCGTTTCTCAAATTTTATATCCAAACCCCAACCCATACCCAAAAAAATTTCCAAATTTTAACCATCCCGGAATACACCCATATCTTTTTTTATTTAAAAAGTACAATAATAAAAATTTTAAATTAAGGATTACTATTGAAAGCACTATCAACTGCTTCTGGTCTTAAATTTGATCGGGTTTTATTTATTGTTAAACCAGCTGCACTGAACTCCCTTTCACTGGGTGCACTGGAGACAGGAATTGATAAATAATAAGAACATAATATTGATAGTTTTGGATAATGATCTTTCCACCATTCTAAAATGTTTAAATCCAATTCCTTTTGTACTTTTGAAGACAAATATTTATCAATTTCATTTCTTCAGTTTCATCATTATCTGAATCATAAAACTGTTAAATAAACATTGGATTTTTTTTCTTTTAATAGGTCTTATATCATCTTCACCACTACCATCATCATGATTTTTATCACTAGCAAGCTGAAATGAAAAAATCCCATACCAGTGACTTATTTCATTTTTTACCCATTCAGCATCATAAGATTCCAAATTTTTCAACTGCTTCATCTAGAGATCAAAGAATAAAGCTAATTTATATAAATCATGAATTTTAATTTTATCTATTATTTTTTGATTAACTACCAGTTTGATTTGCTTTAAAATTTCATCATCTGACGAAGATATTTGACAATGAATTAAAAGAGTTTTATACCAAGGAAGTACAAGATGGAATTGTTGTATATTTTGATGCCTCTAAACATTCACTAGCTTCATAAAATTTTTTTCAGAAAATTAATTAATATTTCTACAATAGTAATATCAATAATTTCAACTCTTTCTAATTGATCTTTCTCAGTCAAAGATCATATATCATTACAAAATTGATCTGAAATTGATTCTAACATTTCTAGTTTGCTATTCCGTCTACTTTCTGATTCTTGCTTAGGTGATTTTTCCAATCTACAATATAAAGAACTTTGTTTGAAGTATGTCACCTATGATTTACATCCTTTAATAGTTTGAATAATAGAAGGAAACAGCAAAAAATTATTCTCTTTAAAAGAAGTTTCCAATACAGTATTAATTCTAAAATAGAAAAAATTTATAAAAACATTACAATAAATATATACTTATAAGATATACAAGGCAAGTGACTATGGTTTCTAAAAGCTGCAACAAAATTAGCAACAGAATCTGTAACAAACATGTATTTTTCATAATAATTTCTGGTGATAAATTATATTTTTTCAAAATACCAAAAATATTATTTTTAATATTTTTTTGCTGTATGACTAGTATCTGAAAATTTTGAAACTGCCAATACTTGCTCTCTTAAAGACCAACCATCTATGTAATGTACTGTCAAAGATATATAACTGATCTTTCGATAGTAATCCAGTAGTAAATGCACCACCTATTTTTTAAAATATTTCAATTAATTTAGTGCCTAAATTTGACTTGATTGATTCTGCTATTTTTACTATATTACATGATATTGTTGTAGATTTGGTAATAATTCATCAATAGATAAAGGACCATATACTGAATCAATGTTAACTAATTCTTGAGCAAATTCTTGAAAACTTTACCAGATACTATTTCAAATGGTCTCAAATCACAACAGACAAAATTTTTTAAATTTTTTTTTATTAATTCTTTAACATTTGCTGGTGTTCCATTTTTTTGCAAAAATGAAGTAATTTTTGATTGATTATCTAAATTGAAACAGCTATGTCTTTGTAAATTTGAGGTTCCTAGTTTATAATTATATTTAGTTATATAGTCACAATTCCTACAAACAACGTACCCAATCATCTTGTCATCCAAGTCAACTAGTTCAGAAAACTTACCCCAAACATCACTTCTTCCTCCTTGCTTCTCTTTTAAAAATAGTTCTCCTGCTCTCAATTTAGATCTTATTTGATCAATAGTCAATGTATCTGACATGGTATATTATTATTATATTAAAATTAATGGGATATTACTAAATTATTATTAAATATATATATATATAATATTATTATTATTTAATAAAGAGTATTATTGTTGTTGTTGCTATATTTCATTAAAAAAAAATGTGTATATATTTATTTTTGCTAGAAATCTATTTCAAAATTCACGCGCGTGAATAATAAAAAATTTGGATACAAAATTCTGATTGGTTAATTTTAATTTCATTTCTAATTTAATATTTTCAGGTTGCACGAAATCCGAGTTATTCATCTCATATTCAAACCCGATAAAAATATACTACAGCCATCCAAACCCGTACCGCAATCCGGATATGGTCCGAGTAAAATTGCAGGACCCAGCCCGTTGCAGGCCTCTAATTCCAAGATCCTTTCTTTTATAATTTTCTTGTGTCTCCTTTGTTTCATCAGTTGGTTCCCAAGGAGCCAAGTTTTGCTTTTGCCGAATACCATTCAGTTCCCATACACTCATTTACTACTAAACTCGAACATTTCTTATATTAATGTTAATAACGTGATACATGGTTGAGGTAGATAAAATAGTACTTTATGTTCCAAGGTCAACTAATTTTAGTGCGTAATTATTATTATCAAATGAAAATTTTACGCAAAAACTTTTTATAATATCAATATTGATTGATTGAGTTACTTTGCAATAATAAAACTTTAATTTTCCATTTTTATCTTTATACTTTCTTATTGCAGAGAAAAATAATAGATAATTAACATCCTGATAAAATAAAACTGTGATAGAATCATTATTTTTATTAAGCTTTTAAAAATAAAATGATTAGTAACGTGATTTGCTTTAATGAGCAAGCAAAGGTTAAGACTAACGTTAGTTAACTAGTGGGTGTTAATAAAGTATTATCCAAAGGTTAATCGGAAGTATTATTGTAATCGTAAACGTAAGGCTGTTAAACAAGCTACTCAAGTTATTTTGCAAGTAAACTAAAGCGAATTTGCAATCGGTAAATGAATGTAAACGAATAAATCAATCACAAATGAATAAAAAGAGCCCTTGAGCTTTGTGAATGTCACCTTTATTTATTTACAGTTATCTGGTACCAATGAATGTGTGCTCACAGATTCATCCAGGTGCAAGAGAGAAGAAACCAAAGTAAATCATAAATTAATTAATTGACAAGCACCGAATTATTGCGAGTTGCTTGCAATAAACTGACAAGAGTAGCAAAAGTTAAGCCATAATTGTTAATCAACTGAAATGATACTGCTACTTGACAAAAATCAAAAAGTTTATTATTTCAAAGCATTATTATAATTTTAAGAAAATAAGAATAAAATAAAAAGATAAATAAAAAGATAATGAATAAATTTATAGTGGAGATTAAATTAGTCATTCATTGGTTCTTTTCTTTTACTATTGTTATTAGAATTTAATGTTTATTAATTAATTAGTAATAATCAATAGATAGTAGGTTCAATTAATTAATTAATAATGAAATTTTTATTCACCTCTGTTAAACTCTAGAGAAAAGAGTTAACATCAAGACTATTTAACGAACTATCATTACTTGTATAAATTTTCAAGCTTTTTGATTTAGCAATCTCTTCATCCAAGATTCTACTTGTATGATATGCATCTGGATGTGATTTGTGTGCTTGTTGCGAATCATTACTACCACCACTACTATTACTATTACTGATATCATTAAAAATTTTCTTACGTTTATCCCTGGCAAATTTCCAAAGTTCTCTACTAGTTGGTCTTTTTGATGGATTCACATCCCAACACCTCTGCATCATTTGCACACAATCATCAGGCATTCCAGGCAGTATTGGTGGTCGTAAACCTTCTTCACATATATCAAAGATTAAATGATGATTGTGAGCTCTATTGTCAAATGGTGGGTGGTCTGCAAATATTTCCCACATTAACATCCCAATACTATAGATATCAGATTCCTTGGTGTTCTTTTTGCCTCTAAGTACTTCAGGTGCAACATATGATACAATCCCATAGACTTTATCTGATGACTTTTCATCAACTGGTCCGCATAATCCCAAATCTGTAATAAAACAATGACCTCCTTGCACAAGTACATTACCACTATGTAAATCACAATGGATTAAATCTCTCCGATGTATATAATCTAATGCATTACATAAATATCTAAGCATTGTAATTCTGTCTTTTAATGCTAAATTTAAATGATTTTTTTGTAAATAATCCCTTAAATTTCCCTCTGAAACATAGCCTAAAACTATTGCGTAATTTCCATTATCTGGGAATCTAGTTATACCATAGCAATTAACAATCAGTGGTGCTTTAATTTTAAAATAATTCATTGCCTGAAAATAAATAAAATCAATTAGTATTATATAATACAGTATTGTTTATTTTGTTTTAAATGACAATTACCAACCTCATTAAAAAAGGCATTTCCTGGATTACTTGAATTGTTTAAACTTTTTAATACTACTAGTTGTCCTCTACCTCCAAAATAACCAAATTCCTTTTTATTTTCGTCATAATCATTAATATATCCTCTTGTCCACGTAGCAGTATAAATTGAACTAAATCCACCTTCAGTCAGCTTTGTTACTTTTTTAAATTGCTCAAAAGGTATCCATTCTAAAATATATCTTGGAAGAGATGAAAGCATTTGACATTGTTGAATAAAGTTGTCAACTATGTTATTTCCAGATGTCCAAGTGGTGAAAAGGCTCTGTAATTGTAATCTAATACAACTTTCACAGAACCTATCAGAGTATTTTGTCAATTTACACTTGTTACACTCTTTTGGTTTTCCCTTTTTATCTCTTGCATTTCTTAATTCAAACTCATAAATAAATTGTTCCTTACAATATTCTTTTTCATTTTCAGAAAGCTCTTTATTTTTCTTGACCAATGAAAAAAAATAATCTTTTATACTTTCTTCATCAGAATTATTAGCATTAGCATTGTTATACATTTCATTACGATTTTTAAATACAAATTCCCTTCTTTTTAGTGATAATGATGATGATAATTTATTATGTGACATTATGTAAAAATATAAAATATAAAATTCGACTTGTGTTTTAATGAATGTTAATCTGGAGATTTTTTGAGAGTAACGGTTACATTACAGCATTATTTCCTTTTTCTTTGTGAAGAGTGACGTGCAACCATCAATTTTTTCGTACATTTTGGATATAAATTGAAAAATGATCACCAAACCCTAGTGATGATTTATAGTGATTCAATAAAAGCATTTCGGCATTCTTTGAAGATTTAAAAGTGATAAAAATAGAAAACGAAATTAAAACATGTACTAAAACCTGTCTTATGTGCTACGTTGCTTCAAATTCAGACAGCTCAACACATTATTACGTGTAGTTAACTTCAAAGTCAAAAATTCGAAAAAACATCAATTTAATACAACCCATATGTACTGTATGTAAAGACAATTTGATTTATGAAATGTGGTAATAAAAAGAATGGCTTTAATTTGTAAAAGGGAAGAGGCATTTTTATTATGAAAAAAAAAATGCATGGAAAAAATAATAAAGTAAAAATTTCTAATTCAAATTATAACATTTGTAACTTTCCATGATAATTACTGTATTTTTCTTGCATCATTGCAATATATGGCAATGATATGATAATTCTTTATTCATCCCAGGACACACATTTTTACATAATTTGGAACTTTTGATAATCATTATCATTATTGCCGCTTGTATCAAGTGTTTAAGCATCTTACTTACGTCAAGTGGGTTTTAATTACGTAAAGTGTTTTTTACTTACGTCAAGGGCTTTTATTTTAGTCAAATCGCCGAAATGCCCTGGTGAGAAACTATCTCTAGTCAATACTTTAGTTACGTCAGTGACTAAAGTCAAAAGTTTTATCATGCATCATTAACTAGAAGCAGAAGAATATATTACCATTGACAACTTGCAAATAAATAATGAAATGGCAATAGAGGAAAAAATAATTGCCTCTTTAATCCAGCTGAAGAGGAGGAAATTGTTGAGAGTAATACTACACCTAAAATTTCAGCAAAAAATGATGTAATCAATTACCTTTGAGACAGCTTTTGATTTTTCTTCGACAAGGTGATCTAGAAATAGATTATAAAGAATTTAAGGTTTTTAAATTATTGAAAAAAGTTAACATTATTAAATAATGAAAGACTAATACAACATCTTGTTTTATTTATTATACAACTAATATTAATATTAAAAATATTTGCCAATTGTCAATGGATCCTTATCACAGTGAATTTTTTTTGCACTTAACTATTGTGACAAGGTTTGACTGTATGATTATATAAAGAGTCTATATTAAAAATCATTATATCAAAAGGAATTTATATATAACAAAATGGTATATACTTGTTCATTATATAATACGACTATATAGGTCACCCATGGAAAACTTGCTTTGGAAGCTTTGTACGTCATGCATCTTGACTTGCCTATAACTCTATTTTTTCATAAAGTATATTTTTGAAATAAAGAAAACAAATAAATAAATCTGAAGTAAATAGAATTTATCCAAAAAAGTTCCATTATTGTTAGTCAGCTGCTAACAGCGACAATATCTCTTGTGTATGATGTTTTCCTAAGTTCTGGTCTTAGTATTAGATGATAATCATATATGTGAGAACCCGGGTTAATGCAAGATCCAATTGTTCACTTGTTGAAGGTATGTAAGATGTGGTCTGCTTCCGATGGATTATTCTTAATCCAATAATCCCAAAAAAGCTTGCATCAGTTGATATTAAAATATTATTAATAATAAATACCACAATGAATTTCACATGATGGTGAAAATTATAAAATCCTAAACCAAACAACAAACAATGCGAGCAAAACAAACAATCAAATAGATTATTCATCCAATTTTAATCAGATTTGCCTAAATATCTAAAAACAAACAATCAAATGGATTGTTTAGCAAAATTTCTAAATTGATCAAACAATTTGATGTATGTGAGCAAAAAAACTCATTTATTAATAATTGAAAA